ACGTGTCAGAGAGGTTTTTTTTTCTCTTTCTTTCTATTTTCGGTGAAGTAGTGTTGTGTTGTGTTGTGTAAAAAGGGTAAACTTACGACTCGTATAAATTGCGAAAAGGTCTCTTATTTAACTTGAGTATTTTTGACCAAAAATTCCTCTTGGGGGTTGGAAGGGCTGTGTGATCGGTGAGTGAGGGGGTTATGCATGTGTGCATGTCACACCAATCACAGTGTGGCTTTTATCAAAGAACGAGTCAAATTGCCTGTTAGAAAATAAGATGGTATCTACATTAATCTGGAGACGTGTCAGATTACTGTAGTCTTTTCAGTCAAACATTTTATGACTTACTATTTAGCTATCTTACCATGACCGATGTAACATCACATGTACATCATAAATTCCCAGTTTCTTTCTTGCTGTACATCCCAACCAAAAAACTTGTCAAATTAACCAAATCATTACTGTAAACTGTCAGCTCCATGAGTGCTCCTATCTCTGACACTTCACAAAAAAAAATAACTCTTGCACGCCTTGCATTCCTATGTTGTTTCTTTTGTGATGCACATTTGTGGTGCCAAGTTTCAAGAACACTGCTTCAATATTTCCAAAGATATCATTTATTCAGTATTTTACCACTCCTTAGTTGCAAATCTTATGACATCATCACTGCTTTAATTTGCATAACAGAAAAATGTCAAGATCTCTACAATGAAAAAAGATATTTCAAAAAGAAAAATGCCATTCTTCTGTATTTTGAAATGCCTTTCAAATAAGCAGAAATTCTTTTTCATGTCATACACACTTTAAACAAATGTCACAGTTTAGTCTCATTCCAAATTGTGTTACAATCAACTCTCTCTAAAGCAGCCACTATCCGCTCAACTCCAGCTGTCCACCTAAGAGAGGTGTTTGCCTTCTTGAATTAGTGTAATTTGATGCTATAAAAATACTGTAATTTTAGAACTGGAACAAGATCTTACAATTCCATAATCAGTCAAAACACACATGGATATCTCCATTTCTTTGACTGAGTGCCCTTTTCTTGTTACATGACATTTTGGTCATTTTACCACTTTTTGCATTTATATCCTTAACCAGAGTTTTTTAAATTTTGTCATATTTTTCTTAAGTAGGAGTCATTTGCTACACAAGGCCCCTGCTGAAACCATGCTAGTGCTGAAAGGATCACCCTGCTTAAATAAAATTGACTTTCACTCTGACTTATTACTCGCAAAGCCAGTGCAGCCCAAGGGATAATAATATTTCTTTGAAGCATCTCATTTTGGGGTTGTGAGCCTATATGATATCACAAGTAATTGCTGCTGACATTTCAAGGGTTTGCATGGTATGCTTGTTCAGGAATGGTGGATGTATTTTGTATGGTTTTGAAGCCTTTTTTAGGCACCAACTTGTCAGACTGTTCAATTTTACACCAAACGATGTATTTAGGGTTCAATCAGTAAATTCATGTTCAAAAACCTAGGAAAGATAATACAGTATTATATGGCAAGATAGCCTTGAGGTAAATCGGAGCATTCTGATTGGTTCTATCTTGGTTGGGGTTTCGCCATACAGACCATTTCCATGGAACTGGTCATACGCTGTGTATTTTTTGTTTTCGAAAGCCGGCAAATTCAAGATTTGCAACTAAAACTATGAAAAGAAAATGTGTAAATACTCTCATTCTTTGCAAAGAAACTACCTAAAGGTTGATATTTTACAGAGCTTACAACATGGACAAGGAAGACGAATATTCACCAAGTGAATTTTATTGTCCTTGGGATCTGGAAATGTCTAATGTAGAAACTGAAACAGGCATCAGCGAAAGTCAGGAGGCCATAGATGATTTTATAAACAAACGAAAAAGTGCAAACACAAATAAGAAGACAGCTACTGATCTGAACACTCTTCTCCATTACCTGGAAGATAACGGTATGACAAATGAAAGAATTGAAAGCCTACCTGCGATGGAGCTTGACTATCTTTTGTCCAATTTTTTTTTTATGAACACATCCAGGTAAAATGGAGAAGAGTACCAGCCAGCAACAATTTCCAGTCTTCAGCGCAGAATTGTCCAGATTGAAAAAGGTTAAAATATTCCAGGATCAACAGAAACCCTTTTCTGAATTTCAACAACCTGCAGCTGTTGAGACTTCTGTCAAATTCCGTTATAAATCATTCTTGAAGTCTTGTTTATATTCAACATTATTTACCTTCAATAAATTTGTTTTCAAATTTGTGGTAGCTTGTTATTTCTGAGTTGCTTGCATCATCATAAACATGTTACGGCGGAAGCCCTTTGAATTCAAGTGACCAGAAGCATGTTTTAACACGAAACAAACAAGCATGGCCCGAGTTCTATATAATAAACTACTTACTAACCTAGCTAGCTTGAGCTGTACAGGGGAGTATTGGCCCTCGGTCGTTTTTGTACAGACCGAGCTGTGCTCAGTCCATACTGCCATGACCTCAGGCCAATATTCCCCAGTATGGCCCTTGCGCTCGGTTAGTGAGAGGTTAATATTTTTGTCACAGTAGCACTTATAGTTAAAATTAAGGGTGTCTTTAACAGGTTGTACTGTTACTGTGATATCCTATTATAGCATTGAACACAACTTGTTCACTGATGATTAGGCATTTGCATGACTCCAATATTGAACATCACCTGATGAAGAGTCGTAGCATTCATCCATAGAAGTACAACTACTAGAAAGTGCTGCCCAGAGTCTGTTTCCAGTAAACTTGATTCTTTCTTAAGTCATTCTTTCTTAAGTCTTCCTTTCCTGATTTCGATAATTGTTAATTCTGTATAACTTTAATACATTGGTAATTTTAAAGTGATCAGTTACTGAACCCTCTTTCAGATCACATGTTCCTTCACCAAACATTTATGATAAATTTCATTTACTTAACTGGTTAATATATTGTTCTAGTATGATTTTCTGGATACAACCTACCATTTTATGATAATTAACCCTTGATTATACTGCCTACATGTAGGTTTGGCCCGTGCCAAGTCAGTTCCTAGCCATACATATTCACATGAAGTTGTCACACTATGGTGAGGAAAAAATAATAATCATTAATTTTTAAATTACTTCGTTTTACCGTCTAATTTAAATTACCTTTTACCAATTCTTTCATCAATAAAATTTATGTATGACAGAAAAGAATTCTATACACTGTCCGTTTTTGAGAGTGCCAACAATATCATCTGTGAACATGGGCTCATCATGCACAGAACAAAATTCCATACTTTTGTCCTAACCGGCAATCATTCATCTTTTGCTGTTGCCAAGTTCCAGAAACCATTGCAGCAGTAGTTTAATTCACCTTAAGTTTACAGTCTTTAAATGCCAAAGGTGCTTGATGTGAATGTTGATACATGTAGGCATGTATATTAAGTCTGAGTTTTTCATTATTCCAAAACAGTTTGTGTTGCAATTTACAAAGTCTTGAAGTCTTGAATAAAGTCAACTTTGGTTTGATTCTGCGTATTCTTCACAGAACTTCACAAAATTTTTGTAGCTTTTAGTAAATAGCAGAAAAGTCAGAATTCAAGTCAAGATTAAACTGAAGACAAAAAAGTATGATTGTGCATGAATGTTTCACATGACAAAACAGATGTGGACATAGTTTGCGCATACACAATAGGAAATCGAAAACAGTTAAGTTTTTGTAAAAAATTTAACAAGCTGTTCAAAGACCAGCTCTTATAGTATAGGTTTACGAAAGTTGTTGACAGCAACAACGGCAAACATTATTCTTTACAATAACTGGCCTCTTCCAGCCCAACAAACAACTTATTCTCAAGTTTGTACTGAAAAAAGAAATAAATGCCCCATCCTTAATAACTGCTCCCTTTCTGATAAGCACCCTATGTATACTTAGCTTATGAAAAATAAATTAAGAAGAAATTGATAGTATTGTATATTTAGGGATGCATTCAAATCAATATAATTATACTTGTGTGTTGATATCCAGATAATCTTTTATTATTGCATGTTAGGAGAGAATTGATTTGTCTTTTCTACAGCATCTTTATGGTACTGGAATTTCTTCTATCTTGGGGGCATAAAATATAGCAATTCTCTGCTGTATTCTCTATGTTATTCACTCATCCAAGTCTTGCTCAATTGGTCATACCCTGCCTGACATCACCTTAACATTGTCTTGTTGAGTCAAATAGCATGATTGTTTGCTGATTTTTAGGTATCGACCTCCAGATGTTCTTCTTGGATCAAAAGATTACACAACTTCATTAGATATCTGGTGAGATTAAGGAAAGGTTTTAAAGAAAACAGTGGTTCACTTTTGAATTTTCAGTATTTATTGTTAATTATTATAATGTTATTATAAAATATGCAGCTGTGTAGTTGATCCTGAACACTGCAATACCACAACAAAAAAATCGGTAAACATCGCAATTTTGCAAAAAAAATTCACCAAATACCACAATACTTCAATACTTCAATACCGAGTCAAAACTTTAGAGCAAATGTAGCAATTAAGAATGTGCAGGGCCCTGGAATTTGTTAATGAACATGAAGTTAGGTTAATTTCTATTTAGACAACATAATCAAAACAAGTAACTTCCATTACCCTTTTCTGATTGCAACACAAGGAATTGCAGTTTTCTGTTACCATGAGAGCTAAGTTTCATTGGGAATGTCCAATCAGAAACTGGAAAAGGCTCAGAAAACATTGGAGGACTTGAAGGATAATTTCTAATACCGTCCAAAATGGAAAAAAAAAGAAAAAAAAAACGCGTCCCACAGGTTTGGAGAATACTGCTATACTACATTTCCAGATTATAACTACTGAAATACCATAAGAAAAATTGTCCAATACCGCAATACCACAAACCCCAATGTCCCCCTCTTTCAGAGTAGTTTTCAGGAAACTAGATTATAGTTACCATAGTCAGGGTTACCATACATACACATACAAACATACACTTTATCTAACCTTGGATTTAATAAAGACCAATGATAAAGGAATGAAGCATGTCCATACTCTTTAAATATAAAGTATAACAACAATTCAGGGATGTACACTGACTGCATGTCATCCATTTTTAACAGATCTCCATTCATTCAAATGGTTTCATGCCTGCCATCAGTTAAGAGACAAAAATTCACTCTGGAAACCATTCCTTATATACTACCTGCCCAAAATGAAATGAGTGAAATCTGTTGGCCTGTAAGTTTATTTCTTATCAAATATCAAAAATGGCTTTGACCCACCAAACACAGAGAATGAGTTATGAAACAGTGGTAATTTTGAGACTACTTTGCTAAGTTCTTAATAGAGCTAGAGAGGGAAACAATATTTTGTATTGTAAAAGCTTATGAAATATTATTTAAAAATTCGGTTATCCTCTTCAGGAAGCTATCTGTTACTGAGGCTGCTACAAGCGGTAGTTCTGAGGGGCTAGCAGTAATCAAATGAAGTTGCAATTTGCATGGTTGAAGTGGAAGCCTACACCAGCACTAAAAATTATTGTTTGTACCCTTTAAAGACCAGAACTGCCAAACTGAGAAGAGCATGAAATTTGTGACAGCACTATAGCTAATTAGAGATTTTTAAAATTTGATGACTAAGCAGTAATAGTGGAATTCTACTGGTGTGCTAATACTATCGGGTTATTCCAGAAAAAATCCACAGACCCTGATGCCCAGTGAATGGGCACATATTTTAAGCCCCCCCCCCCCCCACCTCCTACCCAGATTTCACGAAGTGCTAGGCCCCTCCCCCCACCACTGGCCTCTGGATTTCCAAGGCAAAATACCCCCTCCCGCCTGGATTTCCAAAAAATTTACGAGCCTTAAATGTAATTTATTTTCTATAAAATTATATGCAGACATCCAGACGATGCTCTTGTGTAATTTCTAAAGCTTAAACAAATATTAAGCTTACAATTATTCTTTGGAACTCAATAAAGCAAGCTTATTGATATGAAAAAGTTTTTGGACTCTCTTTAAATATTTAAAAAAATATTTGAGTATTGTGCGGGATTTTGCAGAATTGGAGAATTGTGCATTATGTTTTGCAACCAAGAGCGTGTCGCCATGCTTACTATTTGAAAAACAATCCGTTCTTGCGGATTTTACATGACTGTATGTAGACTGTACAAGACCAGTGAATTTTGAAACTCTTTTCTATGACAGCTATTTTTGTCAACAGTTACGTTCAGCAGAGCATTGGGCAATGGTATGACAAATAGTGTCAGATGTTACACACTCCTAGTGATCTTTGTTGCGACAGCTAGGTTTCTTCATGCTTGTCCTTTTGTCACATGTTTTCTGCATGTTTACTGTGATCATGGAGAAACCTGTGTAGGTAACTTGACGTATCTCAGGAAAGAAAGCCATGAGAACTGAAATACTTCAATTTTTTGAGTTATTTTTTTGTAAAAAAAATACTTCTTAGTGGGCGTGTCGGGTATGTTATGGACGGGTCTATGGATGAGTGAGTGAGAGATGTATTTATGTCACACCAATCAGATTTTATCTACTATAAACAGCCAATCAAATTTCTTGTTGTAAAAGTAAATGGTATGTGAGAAGATTTGATCCTGATACAGTTCAGAACGGCCATATTTATTCTTCTATAAAAGAGGAGGAAGTATTCATATATTGGGCYTACTTCRACATTTTCTGTGGGTTAGGCTGAGGATTTTGTGGGCRGGTTTGATAATCATTTGCAACTGGATAATCAGTCAAAGAAACATAGTGTTTGGCATATAACTACGAGCATGCGATGAAGGGTGAGCTTTTCCCATTAGATAAGTTTTTGAATTGAGTCTTAGCCACTCTACCACTAGGTTTAAGACGTGAATGAAAAACAAGTTGATGTGCGTGGTTTCTATGATAGGATCAATTGTATTTTAGGGGGGCGGAATGCACTACTGGGAATGTGAAGAGGTTGTGACCAGGTTAAAGTCGTTTGCATGTTGTATTGAAAACCTAACTATTGCTGCAGAGTTCGTAATCTTATGAGTGTTCTGGGCATGTCATTAATTTCAGCATCCACTGATAAGTTTCAGTGTGAAAAGCAAAGAGACTACGATTAATTTGGTCAACAGAAGGAATGGTTCTTGCTGACATCTGGAATGAGAAGATACGTTTTAATGAAACTAAATCTTTTCTCTTCAATGTTATCAGGGTTTTCGCTTATTCACGTTAATAACTAACACGAATTGTAGTTGAAGAAAAAGGAAATTATTTTTGTTCAAGATAACTTTAGTGAGGTATATGAAGTCTTGAGCATTTTATTGTATTAAACACAAGGACTTTGGCAATTGAAAAATAAAGACTGACATGTATGTTGCCAGTTTGATTTTTAGTCCGGGTTTGGAGCGGAGTGTGACAGTTACATACATACATCAGCCAGGGTTGTTTTAGAGTGCATGATGTTCAGTGTAATGGTGGCTAGTTATGAACGAGATGAACCTTGAGTTTTGAAACAGTTCATGAGTTAGTAGTATGCAAATGAAACGAGATATTTTTATTTTTAGTTACAAAGGTAACTTGATACTTTTGTTTTTCACAAGGAGTAAACTCAAATAGAGGTCATGAATCATCACTTCTAGTTCTTAGGACATGTTTTAGAGGAGACAAGACTATTTAAATTTGAAACAGTTCTAACATTTACAATGAAGTGCAGGTAACGATTGTTTTGTTCTTGTTGCATGGAAATATAACGAGATATTTTTATTTTTTAGTTACAAAGGGTAATTTGACACTCTTGTTTTTCACAAGGGAGTAAATTCAATTAGAGCTGACGAATTGTCACCACTTGTTCCCACAAGATGTTTGCTACCTTTAGTTACAAATGGTAACTTAACACTTTCGTTTTTTATATGGGAGTAAATTCGATTAGAGCTGACAAGTTATCGGCTATTGTTCCCAGGATATTAAACAAAAATGAAGCTTTCATTTCTGGACGTTTTTTATGTCTCTGCAGTGGCAGTTCAATATTTTTATTTGATGGGCATTTTATGACATTCTTTTCAGTTCAGGTAAAAAGTATGAAAACTGTTAAAATGTTCTTTGAAGACTGTGTGGCACCAAGTTAAAGTGCAATTTAATTAAAACAGACTTTCAATGTGTCAGAGAGGTTTTTTTCTCAGAGAGGTTTTTTTCTCATTCTTTCTATTTTCAGTGAAGGAGTGTTGTTGCGTTGTGTTTGTAAAAAGAGTAAACTTATGACTCATATAAAATGTGAAAAGTTCTCTTAAGGTCCGGTAATACGGGCAACATTTTTCTTCAACTTTCTTGCAACTTTGTTGCATTGCAAGTTGAAACCCTCTATTGCACGTATTACCACGTTTGTGACCACCTTGTCTTGGAGCAAAATACAGTGTTGCTAGTCTGCAGAATTCTTCTTGGTTAATCATGTGTAATTAAAGATGGCACCAACTTTCCTATAATTTAGTGTTTCCACGAACTTCCACTTTGACTTCTTGTCGTCATTTTCTCCTTGATTTTCCGTGCCAGCGAAGTTCTGTCAGTATGAAGCTCAGTGTCATTTCGGATAGCTAGGCGAAAAGTTGTATTTTTTGCGGCAGTTCTTCCACGCCTTTTGCCTTTTTTGCTGCTTGTTCTGAAGGGCCAAACAACACTGACTATGATAGCCCTTGAGGTCTTTGTACAGGGCAAATTTCTGACTTTCCAAGAGTTACTCGTCTACTTTGAATTCACCCTCGTCTTCACTGTCCACCATGTTTGTTATGTTTGCTGCGTTGCCACGCTTCGCGACAGTCAATCACAAGCGTTGAATTCAAATTTGTTGCGAGACAAGTTGTAGCTTCAGTGGTAATACGAGAAGCAAAACTAAAATTTGTTGCAGAAAGTAGAACTTGGATGCTTACCATTTACAGACTGAAACCATCCGGTTGGAAATTTCAGGCAAAAACATTAAACAGTTGAATACCACGTTGCAAGAGAAGGAATTGCTGTAAAGTATATCCACATCACCTAGAGAGACTTAATAGAGCAGAAAATAGCATCACCTCAAATCACAGCCCATATTTTCAGAAGCTTCCCAAATGGAATGGCACGAACCATTTGATTTTCCAACTGGAATTTACAGTTTTCCCATGTAAATGGTAAGTACCCCTTGAGTCTACTTTGGGCAACATGTTGCCCCAACTTGCAACACTGTATTTTGCTGCAAGACAAGTTGGTCACAATCGGGGTAATACGCGCAACAATGTGTTTCAACTTGTAATGCAACAATGTTGCCAGACAAGTTGAAGAAAAATGTTG